AGAAAAAGAAATAAACATCATTCGCTCCGTTCAGAATCTAAAAGTAAACCGTACAAATAGTATTTTTGATTCAATTTTTTTTAAATTTCTTTTATAGATAGAAAATTATGCGGATAACAATGATCTTTTAACTTTAATTGATGATATTTATAAATCACCAATACCAGGTTATAAGTTTTCTGGATATTCAATTCTTGGGGAAAATCCTCGAAATGTTGAAATAGCTGTAAGTTATTAAGTACATAAAAAAATGAATAAAAACCACAAAATTAAACTCAATTATGATCATTCTAGCAAGGAAATATTTCCGGCGATAAAAGGCCTATCTACTTCATTTTTCCTGGAATGGGAAGTCAATCGATGGATTTAGTCGCAGATTTAGTGAAGTTTAAAGTTTTCAAACAAACTGTAGATAATGCACATTCAATTCTAATTCCATATAACTTTAGTGTTTATGATTTATTTTACAAATCCAATGAAAATACGTTTAGGAGTATAAAGAATGTTATGTTCACAGTTATTATTGTCCAGGTAACTTCAGCTGGCTGCTAATGCAAAGTTTATTATATCTATAATAATTATTTATTGTTTTGCATAAATATTGCAAATGTGTTTAGATAGGTCTTGTTGATATCTTACGCTCGCTTGGTATCAACCCCGATGGTATCATTGGTCATTCAGTCGGTGAACTTGCATGCGCATATGCAGATGGTTGCTTCACTTTGGAAGAAGCATTAATGACGATGTACTGGAGGTCTACGATTTTGAAACAAATTGACGTTCCTGCTGGAGCTATGGTTGCAGTAGGGCTGTCGTGGGAAGAGATTCAAAAAAGACTTCCTGAAGGTATAATAGCTGCTTGCCACAATAGTGCWGACAGTGTAACAATTTCGGGAATAAAAGACATAACATTAAAATTCGCTGAATCTCTAAGACAAGAAGGTATATTTGCTAAGCCCGTAGATTCAATGGGATATGCTTTCCATTCGCCATATCTACCAGGATTTATATCGTCGTTGAAACCATACTATGAAAAGGTACCTTCATTTATATTTGAATCCATGAATATACTTTAATAATTAAATGCTTGTTATCATTGAAGCTGATACATACTGATTTCAATGCTAAAATTAAAGCTAAATATGTTAATAGGTGATGGTTAATCCTAAACCAAGATCCAGTCGTTGGAAGAGTACAACATATCCAGAACACGAATGGAATACACCCGAAGCCCAGTACTCATCAGCAGAATACCATTTACATAATATTAGTTCTCCAGTTCACTTTCATAGTGCAATGAAACATGTACCTGAAAATGCTATAACTATTGAAATTGCTCCCCATTGTTTGTTACAAGCTATTTTGAAGAGATCACTACCCTCTACAGTGACAAATGTTGGTTTGACCAAAAAAACTGTTTCTAATCATGCGAATTTCTTGTTAGAAGCTATTGGAAAGTAAGTGTTTATCAGTAGTCTATCAGGGTTCTAAAATTGTTCAATACTATTTTCATGCTGAAAATGCGATTATATTCTAAGGTTATATATTGCCGGAGCAGAGCCGCAATTGAAAAATTTGTATGGCAATGTTGAGTATCCAGTAGTGAGAGGTACTCCAATGATATCTCCAATGTTAAAGTGGGATCATTCAAACGACTATCTAGTGCCCAATTTTGTAGAAAAAGTATGTAAGAGTCATTAAAATATTAAATGTATATTAAAGTAACTATCTATTCAATTAAATGGAYGAAAATAAATAATTAAATATAATTGATTCGAATAAAAACTTAATACTTTATATTAAATATTAACTTAMTATTTATTTTTAGAGTTCTGTGTCAGATGATAATCAAATCGAAATTGATATAAAAATRGATCAAGATAAATATTTAATTGGCCATACTGTTGATGGGCGTATACTCTATCCAGCAGCTGGATACATAGTATGAATACAAGATTTTATATTTTCTTGTTAATTATTTTAATATATTGCCTAAAACATAACACGCATTTATTTTATAAAAGGTATTTTTGTTATTATTATTTATTTATTAATATTTGTATTGTTAAATAATTTCAGACATTAGTATGGAAGACTTTTGCTAAATTACAAGGAAAATGGTTTGAAGATGTTCCAGTCATTTTTCAAAATATAAAATCTTGTATATTTCAGACATTAGTATGGAAGACTTTTGCTAAATTACAAGGAAAATGGTTTGAAGATGTTCCAGTCATTTTTCAAAATATAAAAT